CTTCCTATTTATTGCGTCTGCCTCAAACTTACATAATGTCTACTTTATCCACCAGCAAGGTGTAAATGTTTGAAGAGTTCAGCACCAAAAATCTGTGTGGTGTGATATCAGTTAGTTGCACACAGTATATTCCTGTTCAGCTACTTAGCCAAACATTGATTGCTGCAGGCCAGAGGAAACTACACCAACAGGAAATGCAAAAGATCTAATGTTGGTACCATCAGCTTTCACAAGATGCACACAAAAATTCAACCAACACTAGTTTAATTTTGGCCAAACAGGGAAAATCTTACTTAGTAGGATACGTTCTTCTCATATACGACTGTGGCCAACCGGTGTATTTTTACATAAAAAATCTTGTTTAAATATACCTCTGTGCTTAAACCCATTCCAAGACATTGATTGATTTTTGCCATCTCTTGTAAGTGTTCGTTCAAACTGTGCAAAGCAATTGTAAAATATTTTACCACAGTGAGCACTGATGGTAACAACGTGAACAACTCTACAGGAGTTTTATGAACTCAAGTTATTCCAGTGAGAATGTAGAACAGCTACAGTTCTCAGAGGATGTGGATTTTGTGAACTTTTACTCTTGTGTGTTGTGTATTTTCTGCAGTGAAAAGATTCATGCAGTAAGATCCAGTGCGGTGTAGTTTCTACATTTGTGCTTTCAAGCATGTCCGAGGGTTACCAAGCTTTCTGCAAGGAACACACAAAATTAGATAATTCTGTTAGTAGTTAGTAATTAGTTAATAATCAAAATGGCTGTTATATGTGATACAAATTTGCAAAATTCAGAAGTCCACAATTTGTTGCAACTACTGGTACTTATCAGTGTTTTTCTCATTTAGTAAGCCATCCTAGCATGCCCACTCGTATTTAATTTAGCAAAAGGAAAAAGAAACATTCAGGTAAAAAATTCACTTGAAGGTTAACTACTACTACTACTACTGCAAGATAATGGCTCGATAAACATGTGAGAAAAGAAAAGTAGCAATATGGATGTAGCATTTCCTGTCTCTGCACGCAATGCTTTTGCACTATATTAGCACATTTACACTGAATATAACACTAAATTTGAACCATTTATAAAATGATACTCAAATAGATTTTTGTTAAACTGTATTTTAGCTTTTCAAACTGCTACAAAAATGTAATTATGATTCAGATGCCAACATTTCATTTTACTGATCTCATACAAATTCAGAGCACATAATTTAATTTCACTTGTCTGCTAGCAAACCTCCTACATCATATTTTCCCTTCTGCGCTCGCCTGTCTCTCTCCCACACAAACACACACATACAGTGTAAGCACACACACACACCCATGCCCGACACAGACCTTTACCCAAAAACAAAGTGTTCCTTACCCATGAAAATTCGTGGGTATAGAGAGAATGGTGAATCATGGGAAATGCACAACGAAACAAGGGAGACAAGGTGTACTGCAATATTTATGTGCACTTGGACAAAAGTTTGCTTTTTATACGCTGTAAGAGGGGGTAGGGACGGGGCGGCTGAGAAAAGGCCAGTCAGACGATGACGTGAGTGTGCAGGGTAGACTTTGACAAGCGAGCCACCATTATTGGAGCTGAAGAGCTGGATGTGTGATGGGGAGCTGCTTTAGCTGTGACCCAGGACCTGAGCTGTGTTGTATCCCACCTCCTACACTTCTCTTAAAAGCCTCCACTCGGTAGCTCTGTTGTTCTTTACCTTTGCATCGTGTTCACAGGCTGAATCTGCTCTTAATGTTTCAACATGGAGGTCCTCTGTGAAATGCAGGATTCACAGGAATGTATTGTGTGCTCTGCCAATGCAAATGTATATATATGTATATATATATATATATATATATATATATATATATATTATTGTGTGTGTGTGTGTGTGTGTGTGTGTGTGTGTGTGTGTGTGTGTATAGGCTTTTGTACAGTTTACAGGTGCAGTCGCCTGAAGCTGCTGATTGTGTGTGTGGAGGTGTGTGTCCTGCTGGAAGCCGTGGTTGCCGTGCCCCTGTGATCCATATGGTCATTGTCAGAGGCCCTGCCAGGGCTCAGCCCCATATCAGCTCGCCTGTTCCCCTCTCTGGCTCTCGCTGCCAGCCAGGGGAGGAGAGGAGAGAAGAAAGGAGAAGGGGAGGGGAACGCTGTTTGTTTGTTTGCTTGCCTGCTTTGTTTTATTTAGGGTTTTTTTGCTGATCACAGTAGCGACTGGCCTAGAAATGTAACTGTGCTGTGCAGTGCAGAGTGGACTCCTGATTCAGCGATGGAAGCGTCAGATTTTCTGTTAGGGAGAGACGCGAGGGACGCGGGCCTTTGATGGAATGAGATGTTAAATAGTATGCCAGTGTTGCTGTCAATTAAGAGAATCAGACGGTAGTGGGTGATAGGTTCTATGTTCAGATATGATATATCTGCACTGCTAGACTCATTTTAACAAGAATGTGCTAGCATTCTCGGCAAGGTACACCAGCTTCATCACCCACATGCTGCCGTGGAATATGTGTATATCCAATCAATACCAGAGAAGAGCTGGTCCCTAAGCCTTCTGACTCCTCTTCATTTTTGTGGGGGTGTGTGGGTGCTTTCAACAGCGCTAGTGCTTTTATTGCTTTTATTCAACCATCATATCAGCTGTTATTTTGGTAACACTTTACAATAAGGCGCACAGTAGTAGTTACAGTACCAAAGAAACAGGAGCTAACTGTTGAATAATGAATACAAATAACTAATCATTAGCTTCCACATAATTTAAAATCAATGATTATTTGGTAGATCATCATGTTACCTGAGAACAGAACATTATGTTAATGTCCAGTGTCTAATAATTAGTTTGTAAATATATGTGAGTCTGCATGCTGACCACATTCCCAATAAAAAAGATGACTGTAAATAGTGCATAAAGAAGCAGGCCTTTATTTAAAACAAGCCAAGTCTTTATTTATAATTATTCCGTTTTACATTATCTTATTTTCTTTAGAGGCCTTTCTGTTTTCAGATTGTCCTGTTTGATGTTGAAGAAACTTAAATCTTCCTCCATGTTTACATGTTGTCTTGATAAATTCAGCATTATGTACATTTCCACAGTCATGTCATAGCTTCCTCTCCTCAAACAGAATTACTGTTTTCATTCACTAATTATTTCCAGTCGCTTCCATTTTGTAGTTATTTGAATTGCTTTTAAGATGTTGTCAATGAAACCCAACACTTCCTGCTCAGATGTTTCACATTAAGAGCCTTCCTGTGGCTCAAAGGGCATAATCGCTCCCATTCTAGGTGGGCTTTTAATTTGAAACATCTGCAGGAAGTGTTTAGTTTCAATTATTGTAACTTAACATAGCTTGGTAAAATATGAGCGTAGAAACGATCTGAATGAATGAATGAAAAGAGCATTTCTGTTTGACGGGAGAAACTCAGAGCAGTAGAGTGGTGATCTGTTGCTGTACAGATGGTGTTAGTGCTGTGGAAATGTACATTATGCTGAATTTACCATGTGCGCAAGTAGTTTCACCCCCCCTCAATGATTTTTACTCAACCTTCATTACTTTCTGCTTGACAGCTATTATTTAAGACTGGACTGTTGTTTGTATACTGACATTTATTTTAAAAATGAACAGTATATGCATTGCACATCTACATTAGTCAATTCTTATCTATTATTATTTTATTTTTGGATAACATGGTGCTAGCTTGCTTAGCTAGCTAACTGGTGAACTGATATGCACAGAAGACATTTTGACATGTTACAGTAGGAAAAGCACAGATGTAAACAATCGAATGATGGCTGAGTTCCATTTAGCTGCTACAGTTGACTAGAGCAGGGACATCGTTAATGTCCGTTTTAATGGCTTATTGAGGTGGGTATCATTTAGAAGAATAAAACATTGTGCTACAAAACCCGTTTTTTACTTAACAAAAGAAGCCCAACTTCGTAGATGTTAAATCTTGAATAAACCATGCAGCCAAGAATGTTGCCTAAATGAAACAAAGTGTAAAACTAGCCAACTGATCTAAAAAAGTAAACATGACTACAGATTTGACAAGGCATTTAATGACTTGACCATCAACACTATGATAGTGGCAAAAAAGTGTTGAGTTTTGATTCTCAGTCCTTGTTGTGAGCTTTAAGGTCAGTTACTCACAAATGTCTCCTTGCCCTCACAAAGGTAATTTCTAGCAGCTTCAAAAAAGTTAATCCACTCTTAACTTAATGACAAAACACACTCTGCCACAGTTGTTAACACAGTCTTGTGCTAAATGTACAATTTACAGTATACAACAGTAAACTAATTCTAGTATCTAGTATTTGATTCTGTTAACTGTTGCTTAATAACAAATGACAGATTTGTTCCTCGCTCATTCATTGTTAACTATCATTTGTATATTATTATAGAGTGTTACCATTATTTTAGCCATTTCACACACTACTGTACTCTGTGCTCTCTTAGCCTGTATGTACAGTATAGACATAGACAAAGTCCTACAAATGTCTAGCATCCACAGTAAAGAGTCTCATTTCCCATTTATGAAACACCACAGGTAGTTCAAATCTTGATCAAGATGTATGGGAAATCTTTTGAGCTCCTATTAGTAAACTACCATATTTTTTAGATCATATAGAAAACAGAATATTTGTTGTTTATTCATCCATTTTCTGGGAGTTTGTGTGTGTGTGTGTGTGTGTGTGTGTGGAGGACATTTGGCAAAGCAGTGCATTTCTTACCATGTGTAGCTGCTCTGAGTGCCATCTCTGTCTAATGCATTATCCAAGCAGCCCTTCAGCCATTTGGTCTGGCCTCTCATTTTTCTGTGCGTGTGTGTGTGTGTGTGCTGTTTTTCAGTGTTCTTCATTTCTGTCATCCCCCTCCTGTCTTCCACTGCCCTTCTCCTCCTCCGCTCTTTCTTTTTTCATACATAGTACGAATCAAAGGCTTAATTTTCAGGTGTAGAGCAGTATTCAGAGTGGATGCTGCAGCAACAAACAACTCCAGACCTGTGCTTCAGTATGATTAGTGCAGTTTAATATGTTATGTACATGCAGTGCTTTACAGTAATACCACATTTATGCACTGTTTAAAGCTGACTAAGAATTGCATGTTGTAATACAGCAGTAGGATCTTTGATAACTAATGGCATATATGAGTTAAAAATAATTTCAGTTTATATTTGCTGGAGCTTGACCACACGCCAAAATCTGATCTAATTCTTAACCAAGCAACCTTGAACTGCTCACGTGGAATTGATATACTGTATTTATCTAGCTCAATCTTCTACTCTAACCCAAATCTTAAGTTTTTTTGCTATCTATATCTTATATTCAAAGTTCTGACCATCATCTGGTTACAACAACATTTTATTTACTAGTTCATATATGGAAGTTAGAATTTGCAGTGTAAAACATGCATGAGCATGTCTTTTAATATTTAGTGAAAGCAAAGATACGCACAAACTGTCTTCTATATTGGCCCATATCTCAGCAGTTATGTTTGTAAGTAATATGTTATCTTAACAAATAAGAGTGATGCCAAAACTCAAACAAAAAATAAGAACTGTGTAGTGAAGAAAAACCCACTAACAATCACTTTACATAATCACAAATTTGTCAAGCTTTCATTTGATACCATACTTTTATTCTTTTTATGGAGGTCTAATTGCAATCTAAGGTGGTTAAACATCAGATTCGTGCTGTGTTCCTGTTTGATGGTCCATAAATTATTTTAATAATACTGACAGATTTGGCCTGGTCTGGAGTGATTTGTGCCTACAAAAACTGGATTGATGGCATTCGTGGTCATATGTTTTAAGATATTCTCAAGACAAAACCTACATTGAGCTGTAGATCACCATAATACATTCATATCAAACCTCTCTTCGGCTGATTGTTTGTTCCAGTTAAAATTTGTCAAAAAATGTAGGGGATAAAATTTGGAAGAAACAATCAACTATTTTGAACTGAAACCCATTTCTACAATCTAAAAAATGCTCTATGTTTTATGTTTTCTTCCTTTCTAGAACCTATAAGTGACATTTTACTGTATATTCACAGCTTCACAGTATAGACATACAGTATATTGTAACAGCATATGTTTGGCTCACATGGACTTCCTGTTTCCTCCCCCACTGAGCTGACAAGACGAGAGGGCCGCTAACATTTTCCAGACATATGTCTGTTGTATGTGCACAGAACCACAGATGATCCCTAAAACATGTCCCTCTGTTTATTATCCGTCATTATTTTCTATTAGTGAAAATCGACTCTGTCTACCCACAGAGTTTGGAAAAACAGAGGCACACATCTCAATCTCAGAGAGAGAGATAAAGAGAGAGCTTGCCCTCACCCTGTTATGGATATAAACAATACAAGCAATCCCAGCTTAATATCATACATCTTATTACACTGTTGAGTACATCTCTGCCTTGAAATTGCTTTTATAGATTTATTTCTTTTTGTTTTCCTCTGTGTGTCTGTGCATTTTTGTTAATATTATTTCACAATGTAACGCAACCTTTCCCAGTACAAGCCAAATTCAAATTCCTTCTCATATAATTTGCTTTTACTTATGTGGAATTTTTAAATCTTCTTATGTAGCGTAGACAGGACAGCAATATGGACTAGTAGCCCTTTTCCATACACACGTGCTTGCTTGGCTTGAGTCAGTTTGACTTTCCCTTGCATCAGCGTAACAGGGATTTGCATCTCTATTACAACAGGGCTACCAGAATGAAGGTGTGTCTCAGCAGAAAAAAACTGGGATTTGTCGGCTGTTGTTTGTAAAAGTTGGCCCCTCCTCTCCGGCCCTACGAGAAAAAGCGTAGTAGTGGACAAGTGAGCTAGAGAGTGAACGAAGAGAGGGAGCGGCTACCTAGAACAAAGCAGTGAATCAGAGAAAGAGAACATTATTTTCTAATTGTTTGATTGCAGTTACGTTTTAAAACATAAATTAACACCAACACATCTCAGGAAGGTGACACAGTGCCAGATTTTGTGTGAATGCAGCCGAAGCCTTCATCCTGTCCCCGGCCTCTCTGCTCTGCGGGTGTGTAGCTCAGTTCGACACTCGGTCAAACAGACACAGACCTGTAGACGACCATCTGACGCCAGCTCTTGGAGGTGGCCAGAGATGTCCATCTCGGGCTTGACTCGGTACAGCTTGACGCATTTATAATAATGGAAACTCAAAACAATGCGACATGGTTGGTTGCCAATTAAAAAGCTGTAATGGTTTGTGTGACATCACCTGTAGCTTTCTGGATGGATGTTTATAGCTGGGGTTCGGGTTTATGGTTTGCTGCCATCTTGAAGCTGGTTTGGACAGCAGCAGCCACCAAGACTGAGTGTCATAGACTGAGAATACAAATAAACACACAGCCTCTTAATGGAATTTATCTATTATCTATATCAGCAAAGCCTGGACAGGTTTTCTGATTCTTATTTTCAGTGACAACAAATGATAAATACCCATGTCTGCTGTGGTGAGGGTCACAGTAAATGTAGTCTGGCCAGATAAGATGCTGGATTACCATGGTATTTTGAAGGTTTCAGTGTATAGCACATGGTCAGCAGGCAGTGGTCCAACCTTTCAGTTGGCAGCCACATTCTTACTTCTGTACTGTAATAATAACTCCAATTCACAGCTGATGTTTTTATCTTTATGTTTTTTGTATCAGCCTTATGTGTTGGCTTTTGCGATGGTCTAGGCTTGCAGTCAAATATGTTTTGCATAACTAAGTTTATGTTTAACTGACAAGTAGTGTGACTATAAAGGCTACTACTATAAAGTAATCCTCAACCCATCATTATTTTAAGATTGTGCATTGAGTGCAAGACATGCATCGAACATATTTTGTTTTAAATATATATAATTCAAAAGCCTAAGTAAGATTTGAAATTGCATTTCTATTCTGAGATTCTTTAAATGTATGGTGTGAAGAAGCCATTCGATATATATATATAAATATATTAAATAAAAGTTTTGAGGAAAAATTCGTTGGTTAAGTCTTGAACCAGCCTTATAGCACAAGCTACGTACGTAACCAACGGGCAGATATCAAAGCAAAGCCAGTTGGATTTTATAGAAACGTTTCAGGGAAATTCACACAAGAATACAATATCATGTAATTTACAAATCTGTTAGGCCTGTCTAGCTTTGCACTGATAATAATTATTTGTTATTAATAATAATAATAGCTGGAATCACTCATATAGGTGTAGATTGTTGTGTCCGTAGATTCTCATGAGGCATTTGACAAAATTAGATATATACTCACAAACTGGAAGTTTGCCTTTCTCCATTTACAGTAACTGATCGTACAGTATATACTGCTCTTCCCTTCCCTGCTGTGAAACCTTTACTTGCAAAAAGATTAACACAGATGCTTTAAGCTATCATGACTTTTTTGGCCATAAAATACAAATATTTTCTATAAACAGCAGTTTAAAAGGTCAACCATTGCCATTCAACAATGACAGAGAGTTGCCTTTAAGCTCAAGTCCCACAAGCTGAGACATGTGAGGGAAGAACAAAGCAGACATCTGTGTTTTAATGCGCTTTTTACATAGCAGCTAGAAAAAAACACAAGAACACATTATTGTGTCATGTCTGCGAGGACTTGCTCTCTTGTAAATGAAAGTACAAGATGCCTTTTTCCCCACACTGTGCTCTTCCAGGTGTTGCAGGGCTGGGTGGGCTGGACTAGATTGGATGCCACCAACTGCAACACACGTGTACACACACCACTGTGACTCAGTGTTCGTACTGTAATACATATTCTGTCAAATACCCCCAATATTATAATTTAAAAAACTAAAGCACTAAAACTAATATAAACTCAACTAAAACTAAACATTTTTAGATAATAAAAACTAAACTGAAACAAGCAAATTCCCTCTGGAAACTAACACGCTAAACTGAACTAAAACAAAATTTAAACGAGATAGAAATAAAAACTATAATAACTCTGACACACATACAGAAAACATCAGACCCTTATGTTTCTTCATGATCACACAGATGACGGATTAATGCTACTGATCCTTTTAAGTAAACGCCAACTGACCATCCGTGTGACAACAATGTATTGATCTATTGAAGGCAGAAGACCAGCAGCATTGTACAGTGTCATCAAGTTGACTTTGTAAGCTGATACCAAAGATGAGGTGAATAGGTGAAGGCATTCTCACTGATACACATATATTAATATACTAGTTATTTACTTTGCCAAATACATTTTGGAAGAAACATAATTTACTTTTTGTTTTACTTTAGGTGGCTATATTTTTGGGAATTCCAGGATATTGGAGAATATGTTCTCATATTACACAAATCATTGCGGAAAAAAAGATGTATGAACACTGAGCCTACCAACAACAATCAGAATTTGCATCAATGTTGTACTGTCTAGGCAACTAAAACGTCTTAAGGTTAGGAAAACCTCTGTGTTGTGATTTGTTTTTATAGTTCAGAAAGAGCTATGCTAGCTGTTTTCCCCTGTTTCCAGTCTTCAAACTAAGTTAACCTTCTTCTGCATCTAGCTTCATATTTAGCTTCCAGACATGACAGTGGTATCAATCTTCTCATTTAACTATTGGCAAGAAAGCAAATAAGTGTTTCCTAAAATGTCGAACTATTTCTTTTATCATGCTTTATTTTCCAGGACTGGAGATTGTTGGGAAAACAATAAGGAATATAGTATGTTGAAAGTACACAATTGAACTTGTAGATACATTAAATACAGCTTTTGTTGTTATGCTGCTCTAATTCAAATATGTGAAGGTACATTTTAGGAGACTGGCTTGGCCCTCCGATTGTTGTCATATCGATTTCGATATGTCATAAAAATGCTCAGTCCTGTGTTGAGTATGTCGAGGAAAGCAGCAACGCCGAGCCCTCCCCGCATGTGAACCAGCAAGTGTCTTTTCAGTTGTCAGTTTGTGCTGTGATGATGCAAGAGAGGAGGGGATGCAATGGGTGGAGGGATTAGGAGAGGAGAAGGGCAGAGAGGGAAGGATGGGAAGGGGAGATGGGGGGGGAATGAGAGGTGTGGCATAAGAAAGGGATGAGAGGGGTAGAAGCCAGTAAGTAGGAGGAATGGAAAGGAAAGAAGGAGAAGGGGGGGTAGGAGCATGTGCTCAGACACAGCCCTGTGTGTTGCCATGGTGCAGGCTCAGTCAGAGCTGCACAGTAGCTTTGCTGCTCAGCTAGCTAATTACCCACAGACTGCAATGTTGATACGCAGGCGGCTGAAGCCTTCTGGATTTCCAAGAGCTTTATGCGTTTGCCGCACTGACACACGAGTGCGAGTCAAGGAACAATTTATCTTTTTATATTTAGAAAATGCGTCTACAGACACCAAGTAAAAATGCGATCCAGAAATGTGCTCTAGGTATGTGGTGAACAGCGTTATTGAACATTGTAGTGGTGCTCTGCTGTGTCAGCCATGCCACTTGTGTAATATAAAGAGCTCTTCCAGCCCAGAGCTTCATTGTCCGTACACTGTCACTGCTTACTGAGAGCCTGCAGATCCTGATCAGCCTGCTTATAAAACCCAATATGGGCCATTGTGGATTAATATTCACCATTAAAATTTCCAATTATGTAATCAGCCAAATCCAAGCCCTGCATATGCTCACTAGAATATCTCAGCAGGCAGGAATGAAGAAGGGGTTGGGGGAGGGTCTGAATGAGAGGAATGATGCAACGTCAGTCCGTCCTAGAATTCAAGAAAATTAGGGGTTTTGTTTGAGCAAAGATCTTAGGGGGTTGAAGGAACTAGGCCTGTCATTCTTATCGCAATAACGTTTAATGTTACCAGCTGCAAATGGAAATCTAAAGGTAGTTGTTTGGTTATATTAAAGCTTATAGAAATTTTAATTTCAGTAGATGCAAAGAACTTGTGGGGATCCTTTCTACCGTCTGTCTGCATTTTGCTTTCATTTTTGTACAAACACATGTCAGAGCATCCATTGCGTTTGATTATGTGATAAAATATTAAGTCATTACATGTTCATGTTCCTTTTTTGATCCTGTGGAACAATTTGACTAAGTGATAAGCAATTTTGATTGTTAACAGTGCAGACAAATCCTCCCTGAAACTTAAATCCCATTTCAATCTCACAATGTTGTTTGTTTAAAACTAATCTCAACACAATACCTATAAGCTTGTGGATTTCATTGTCAAGGAGCTGCTTTGCAAAATTCAAATTTGTTAAGTTTAAAGACGCTTTGAGAGTGAAGGACAGTTTGACATGTTACATTACAAAAATGATTTTGTAGTTACTGTTTTGTTACAGAACTGCTCACACTCCTAAAGTCTGAATGAATGCTGCAACTCATGATTTTTTAAAGAGCTGAAATTAGTGAACTAATTAATGAATTCATCAATGGCAATTTTGATAATCAAATAGTTGTTTGAATTTTTTTCAATGACAATTATTCAATGGTTGTGAATATTTGCTAGTTGTCTTATTCTTCCATTATAGTAAACAGAATATGTTTTGGACTGTTGATTGGACAAAACAAACAAACTAGGCTTTATGTATACTTTTGACTATTGTCTTTTTGTTGAAAGAAATTGATTATTTAAGAAAATAAGAATTAGAATAGAATTAATTAATTAACCCATAATAAAAATAACTGTTAGTTGCAACCCTAATTATTTCCATTATGGACTAATATGTTGATTATCTTTGTGATTAATCGTGAACAAAAGTGAAAATGTCATTTTTCATTTACAAAGAATCCGAAAGATATTTAATTGACAATGACAAAACAGACCCAAATGGCCACATCTGATGAGTGTGAACCAACATTTTTGCTTTCCAAAAGAGGCTAAACGGTCAAGCGATTATCAAAATTGTTGCTAAATATTTTTCTGTCAATCGACTAATCAATAAATAAACTTAAATCATATATGACGGTGTTGACGACTCATCCATTTCATATTGACACATTCTGAAACCAACACTATTGTTTATCTTACTGCATCCACATTGTACTTTCATTCTTGTGGCTGGAGTCCATCTATTCTGTCCAACACAACAGGTTTGTCATGTTTTGACAGCCAGCTGGTATACTGTGTTTCATCACAGGCACCTCTGTTACCATAAAAGCGCTCCAGCCTTAAAGGTTTAAATGTTTTCAGATCAGTGTCGTATCTCCGGTCCAATAAGGTGGCTGCAATGATCTCAGCCAAGATGCTTTCTTTAAGGGACGGTGTGTCGTGCCTGAACACAACCTGAGGTGGGCAGAGAAGAAGGGCAAATCTGGACCCTCGACAGGAGGCAGATTGATTTGGCAATCACCAAAGTGCTACAAACGTTTAAAACAATGCCCTGTTTTTTTTCCCCCCTCTGCTGGTTGGCGCTAAATACATCAGCATATGGATAAATGTGCTCATGTATTCATAACTATCACAGGGAAACTAGAGGCACAGCTCTTGTTTCTGTTGCCTCGCCCGTTGTCCTACTTACTGTAATTCTTCATCACTTTCAACACCTACACTTATTGTGAGCCAAAAACTCAAGCACGGCTAGTGAATGGAGATATGTGAATATGTGGGCGTTCCCATGTGGAGCATATAGAACAACATGAAACCTCAACCATGACAGGAGGATCTCTGCTGCTATGTGTTGAGTCGGGCTGAGCCCCAATAGTTTACATTGGGCTGTGGGTTGAAGTTAGCCTATTTTCACTGTAGTATTTTTACAATAGAGCCCCAAGTACTCTGTATTTGCTTTCAGTATATTTATCGCTCTCTCATGATTTTGATTTGTGAACCAGTATCAGCTAAGGGGCCATAGTTTCCATTTATTTTAGCCCAAAATATTACAGCGACATTTAAAGATACAGAAAATACTATGGATTAGATTGCTGACATTCACTTGTGAGTGAAGGCTTGTGGTGTAAAAGGCCGTAAAAGGAAATGAGAGAAACATTTCCCGTCATTTTTTATTTATTTATTTATTTTTTGCAATGGAATGCATCAGATGGGTTTAAGGATCATCGTGGCCTTAGGGGAGAGTGTTTGTTACATCACTGGGTTCATGAAGCAGAATCACAGTCCAATGTTCCCAATTAAAAGAAACAAATAAGTCTAAAATTGGAAGGGTCTAATTGCAGCTCAGAAGATTGTGTTCTGGGGTACTCAAGAAAGGAATGAGGAAAATGAAGGTGACAAAAGTGAATCAGAGGAAAGTGAAACAGAGCAAAGAGCTCTCATTGAAAAAGTACAGAGCATTTTGGACCATCCGGTGTATTTTCTGGTAGTAACTTGTTTCAGATTGTTAATTTTTATGTGAATCCCTTTTAGCTGCAGCGAGATACTTTTCTGTAGTCTGTTCCTGTAGTAAGTTTGGGATGTAAGGAGAGAGTTAAGACTAATGGAGGCCATTTAATATAATTTTAAATGAACAGAGATTTGAGATGAGAAGATTGATACTACTCTCATCTGTCAATATGAAGCTATAGCCTGCAGCTGGTTATCTTAGCTTAGCACAAAAACTGGAAAGAGGAGAAAACAGCTACCCTTGCTCTGTACTGTAACAAAATCCACCTACACTATCTCTAAAGCTCATAAATTATCATGTTGTATCTTGTTTGTTTAATCCTATCAAATAACGTAAGTGTAAAAATCACAATTTGCTCTTTTACAAGGGTCAGTGTGCCGTACTATTTCTGCCTTCCGTAGTTTTTCCTTGTTTGCTTCAGAATGAAAACTAGTCATCCTAATAACAAAGTCAATATTCTAAAAACATATAGATTCATTGCCGGATTTTTTTCTAACATGTCAGTGGCTGTATAGTGAATAGTCTCACCTTGTCATGTCAGAATAAGAAGTTACCTCAGGAACATCGTCAGCATCTTCACAGTGTCACAGAGACCACACAGCCTACATATTAAAAAAAAAACGAAGACAAATTCAGATAATGACTTTTCTTCATAATGGCACCACCGCAGATGAAGCATCAAAATGGCAGCACTCAGTTGTGTGTAGTTGTGCACTGTCACCGGTACTCAGCACAGGATCCAAAACACCAGAGAGGAACAAGCTTAGCAGCTCTCTCAGCTTAGCAACAAGGGGTAGCAACTATCCAAGAGCTGCGAGGTGACCTCTGATGTAGAGGAAGCAGTGGGGGCGGGATTATGTGAAGCATACTGATGACACTCACACATGACAGGCTTCCTTCATTATGGAGCCTTGCCACAGCACACTTGGTAACTTTCACCGTAGCTGTTAGCTTGTGATTGAGCCTCGTGGTGTTGGCTGTGTGATCGTGAGACCGGTGACTGATGTGAATTAGCAGTACAGTAATTTACATAATGTATCTTGATAAAAAAACAGTAATCATTATTGACAGATTATATTTCTACAGCAGCGTACTTTAGCGCAGCAGTTGACGGTGCCTGTGGGGGGGGGGACACCTGTAGTTCTGTCACCCACTCATTAGCAGCAACATTCGAAAGGCAGGGATGACTCAATCAGAGAAATAACACTGAGACATCAGTTACAATGTTGCTTCACGTACATGTACTGTACAGCACTTCAGAGCAAAAAATAGAGCTGAACTGGGTAGTCATTCCATTTTTCGAAAATCAGTTCATAGATTAATCTGCAACCATTTTGATTGAGTCTCTTGTACAAATTTGCGCACACTTCATTTGCCCACATACATGAAAGTTAAAGCATGAATACACACACCAGAGACACTGTCATGTTCAGACCTGATCAATTGTCAGCAGACTTGTAGAAAGCCTTCTCAAGCAACACTGTTATGAATATTCGTTACGCTAAGTACTTTTCCCTCTGTGGCTGCACTTGTGAAGGTCAAACTAGCCAGCTCTCATTTGGAGCTGCTCAGCATGACAGAGAGGTAAGCCAGAGCATGCTTTTGTAATATTACATAAAGATGAGGAGGGAGCGCTGCTGACAGCTGTGACGGGGCTATTAATTATGGTTTCATGAATGTGCGTCTGTGGTGTGTGTGTGTGTGTGTGTGTGTTTGGAGGGGGGGGTGCAACATAGTCACAATGCTCAATCATAGCCATCAAATCAGAAAACTTTGAGCTTTAATGGGGCTGTTTTATGGGTGGACTAATTAATTTCCTTGTGGCTGCCTTATTGATATGAATGCCTGAATTCAGCCGGAGTTGTAGCAGGAGAGAAGGAGCAGTTGACCTTTACCGCTATGGGATTTTCTTTATTACATCTCGTTATTCCGCCTTTGTCACTGACAAAGAATGCAACATTGAGTTTCAGCGCTGTCTGTGAGTAAAACGTCTCACGCAGTCACGTGTTCATCCTTTGTCAATTCCGTGCGTCTGTCACTTCTTCTCTCACCTTGCCTCTCTCCTTCCCTCTTCCCTCCGGCACAGGGGCCACAGCGTGAATGAGATGTTGGGTGCATGGTAATTGAGTAGATATTGATTGGACTGCAGCGTGGCCTACGAGAGGCCAATGAGAGCCGGGGGATCAGAGCAGCACCACTGACTGCGTCTCTCATCCCACATTCTGCAGGAAAACATAAATGCAGTACCACTAGAGGCACCAGAAAACGAAGGAACATTACATTTTTAAATAACATAAGCACATCTTGTTCGTCTATCTGTTATTAGCTCTGACTGTAGGCCCAGGAAGAGCTTTCTTCAGCATTGGCTGTATCATTTGACTTACTGGGTGCATCATCTGAGCGGGTCTGACTGTCATATTTCACTGCGATGTCACCACTGGAGACTGAGCTGCCATGTCGGTGTACCTGGCAAGAAAGGAACTGATGTGGAAATGTTTGCTAAGGAGGAAGGGGTTATTGCCCTGTCAGCATCCCGTCGCTTAGCACACGCTGAACCCTCTTGTTCTTCCCCTCCACTCTACCTGCGATGAAGAGGAGGGTTTGACAACACAACATGTAATGCTGACAGGTGTGGAAGAAAGCCAGTGTTTAACATTCCTAAGGTGTGATATATTGTCACCAACAGGGATACAGATGTCATCCACAGGATTTTTCAAAATTAGATCTACATTTGTAAATTATGTTTTATTGGGATGCTCAGTGTTTGTTTTTTTCATTTGTGTACCGCATTACAGCACTGGTAAACATACATTAAAGAGAGGCAGTGTGCGACCATATTTAGACTTACAGTATATGTTGCAGTGTGAAAGTCTAGTACAACCATTGAAGGTTTTACAAAAAGGCTTTGATGAGATTGATTCCACTCACATGTCTGTACAGTAAATATAAAGCTACACCGAGCAGCCAGCTTACCTAGCTTAGCATAAAGACTACAAATGGGGGGAAAAGCTAGCCTGGCTCTGTCCAAAGGTTACAAAACCCTGCCTTAAAACAGCAAATTGTTGTTTTTACATTTTTCTACTGGTTAAACAAACAATTGTTCAATCAGGTTCGTAGATTTTGATACCTTTGGAAGGAGCCAAATTAGCTTTTTTTCCTGGAAGTAGCTTCGTATTTAACATATCTTCTCATCTAACTCTAAGAAAGAAAGCAAATAGGCATATTTCCCAGAATGCCAAACCTTTTCCTTTAACCTAGCTAATGTATACAGTATATCTGCCTGACAAACCATGAGCTACTAAACACAGTATGGTCAGACCAAAAGGACTATCAGCTGATGCATGTGTGCATCAAATGGTCAAGATTCACGTCTTTAAACACATAATAAAGATGTTTGATATTCATTTAAATCTCTCCTCCTGACTCCACTGCAGCCATAATGTCATTTTTGAACACAGCTTTTCTCCTTTTAACTCATGACGTATGGATTTGAGAAGCTGTGTGTGTGTGTGTGATGGAGACAGGCAGCTCTGAAGGCAGTCAGGCACATCCAGCCCATGGCCATGCATGTGCGAGCACAGAGCCGCATAAACTGCAGTGAGAGCCCTAAGAGGTGAAGTAGGGGGAGGTGACTAAGCGGGCTTGCCGGCCAATACCGTTCAAGCACCGGTTACCATGGGAACACATTGATTATTTAACAATTTGGATGAAGCCTGTGCCCTGCACTTGCCAAGGTTCAGTGGGAGTCTTTGTGGCTTTACTGTCCCGAGGGTCTGCAGCCACGTGAGTGTTGCAATGCCACCAGGACATTGATACACATGCACCGTGATGCTGAGAGACAAGAGACAGACGCACTGTCTCAACTGACAGAAGAGCAAGATGATAGATTGATGAATAAGAAACTATTATGAACAGATGGGTGAATGAGACGAGGGAGTGAGAGAAAGAAAGCACTGTAGCGGGTGAATTTTCATCACTCCTGGTGGTCAGTGGGGACTTGTAATGATCTCATGCTGGGGAAGCAGTCTGGACTCATTGTCATTGTGTGTACACGAGGTCTTTGTGTCCAGTATGCTCACTTGCTTCCATGTCTCAGCCTGTGTGTATGGGTGTCCATATAGCGCCAAAGCCACTGTAACCCTAAACGCTGCATTGCAGGTGGGCAGGAGTAAACAACTGTTTGTGCCTTTAATGATTAATGTTTTCATTCAAGAGGAAATAAAGGGATTGTAATCTATTGTATCTGTCCCACATTGTGTACTATACAGAGCTGTTTTTAAGTCTTTTTGGGGTAAGTCTCAAGCAACCCCTTTTACATCTGGATAAGGGAAAAGACATGTTAATGTCAGGTGTAAATGCTCACCGAACTAATCATGATCAGATCGGCTGGTTCTCATTGTGGTTGGATCTCATCCAGGGATAAATGCCATCCATACAGTGTAGCCACATTATTAAGCAAGTTGAAAGGTCACCTTACTCCTTCTCTTCCGGCTGGCTTAGGAAAACCTGGCAAAAGCTACAAGTAGTAATAGCGAGCAAGAGATATAACGAAAATGCTCTTCGTCTGTTGATTGTATGTCATTATCCAGATATTAAATCTAGACACTGATCATATGTTAATACCAGGTGGTAAATGGGGCTGTCTTGTCTAGTCTAAATCAAGTGACACGTCTCTGAATTTTCTTTCCAAGTGTATTTACTTAGACTTTGTTGTTCCAGAGTTATACCAAGTCAAGTCTCAGAGTAGTCAAGTTCAAGTCAAGTTTCAAGGCCTCATTTTTTAAACTTAAGATTCCAAGTCTCTCGCTCTGGCACTGCATCACATCCAAAACCTTTTACTGCCTCACCTTTTGAATCTCTTCAAGGTATCTGACTACACTTACATTCTCATCAATCTTTGACATCAGACTGTAAGGGACTGCTTTTGTCTTCGTCTCTGTGACTCTCAACCTGCCTCCCATGGTAGGAAAACACTGTAAATTAGTGTTTGTCCCCTGCCAGTCCTCTGAGGGCCCATTATAGCGCTGACAGATCATAGCTCCGTTATGTGATAAACTTCAGTGGTGGTCAAATCTTACAATCTTTTTTTTTTTTTTTTTGAAGTATTTTTTGGGGCTTTTATTGCCTTTATGATAGAGACAGCTGAAGATAGACAGGAAAGGGGGACAGAGAGAGGGGATGACACGCAGCAAAGGGCCACAGGTCGGACTCAAACCCTGGGCCGCTGCAGCAAGGACTCAGCCTGGGTACATGGGTAGCCAGCTCTACCCACTGAGCTAACCGGGCGCACCAATCTTATGATCTTTAATCAACTGTCTTCATGCTCTGGGCAGCTGACTAACGTAGATGAAAAGCAGGTTACCCAAGTAATCCAACCTAATCCGAGTTACCTGAGTAAACTGCTAAATGTTAAACAAACTCATGTTGATATTCAGCATGTTGAGATTATCTTCCATTATTCCTTTTTGTTTGCTTGTTAAGTGAGATTCAGATAGAGAGATTAGGCAGCAATCCCAGGCCAGGATAATACTGCTGTTTTCTACGACTGATGGGTTTATTGTCTTTCAGCTAGACTTGTAGCTTCAGTGATCCCATTGCGCAGCATTGGTCCACTATGATACTTATGATAAGCACTGTAGGCATTATTACTGTAACAGGTGTGTTTTGTCACATGTGGTCTCAGTAGTGGATTCAGTAGCTTAGTCTGTCAGTCACTAAGGGACAGTAGTAGCCAATGTATTCCCATGTGTGGCCCTCAGGCTGTGTTTCATCACTTCTCGCCGTATGGGCTTTGGTTTCAGGGTTTTCATTCACAATAGACTGTCACTAACATGGCTGCTGTGGACCGATAATACAGATGCTATTACTATTAAACCGTCTCCTGGATTTGGGGCATGGGCTATGAGTTGGGGTCT